TCTAATTTGGGCCGATTGCAAATAATACCACTTTGAATATTCTTGAATTTGTCTTTTGTTGCATGCATTTCTTTCTGTTGCATATACTTGGCTTGAACCATGTGAAATGACCATTTTTGTGCATTAAATTGTCAAATATTAATGATTTCATATGGTTCAATCTAATACCTAGTAGTGGGATTGTTGGATCATAGGAAATACATATTTTCAATTTTAGTGGATTCTGTAGATTATGCCCGTTTTCTGAAAATATTGTATCAAATTTATCTCCTGCTAGTAATGTATAAAACTCACCTCAGCTTTGGCTGGAGTGGCTCAGTTGGTTGAGGGTCGTCCCATACACCAAGAGGTTGTTGGTTCGATTCCTGGTCAGGGCACATGCCCAGGTTGTGGTCTTGATCCCCAGAAGGGGGTGTGCAAGAGGCAGCTGATCAATATTTCTCTCTTTCTCTTCCTCTCCCTTTCCCTTCCTCTATCTCTAAAATCAATAAAAACTTTTTTTTTCATAGTTACTTCATATTCTGGCCAATACTGGTGCTATACTTTTTTGTTGTGGTTTTGATTTACATTTCCTTGGTTACTAGTGAGGCTGAACACTTTTTAATTTGTTTTTGGCCATTTAGATTTCTTTCTTTTTTTTTTAATCTTCACCTGAGGATATTTTTTTCCATTGCTTTTCAGAGAGAGTGGAAGGGAGAGAGGGAGAGAAAAACATCAATATGAGAGACACATCAATTGGTTGCCTCCTATACCCACCCCAACTGGGGCTGGGGATCGAGCCTAGAACCAAGGTACTTGCCTTTGGCTGGAATTGAACCCAGAACCCTTCAGTCCATGGGCTGACACTCTACTGAGCCAAACTGGCTAGACTGGCCATTTAGATTAGCAGGTGTTCTTTATATATTTTAGATATGTGTCTTTGATTGTTAAATGTGTTGCACATATCTTCTCCCATTTCTTGGTCTCTGTCTTCACTCTCTTAATGGTATCTTTGATGAATAGATATTCCCAATTTTAATAGTCAAATTTGTCTATCATTTCTTTTATAGTTAATGACTTTTGTCTTATCTAAAAAGACTTTTACCATAAGATCTTGAAGCCGTTCTCCCATATTATCTTTCAAGAACTTTATTATTTTGCTTTTCACATTTAGTTCTGTAATTCATCTGAAGTAGTTTTTTGTGTACAGAGGGAGGTTGAGGTCCAATTTCATGTTTCCCCTAATGGATAGATATCCAGTTGTCCTAGCATCAGTTAGTGAAGAAGATCATCCTTTCCCCACTGCTATGAGGTGTCACTTCTGTCATAAATCAGCATCCATATGTGCCTGCATCTGTTCTTGGCTCTATTCTGTTCATTGTTGTGTTGATCTATTTCTGCACTAATACCTCATTGCCTTAATTATGCTAAGCTCATAGTAAGTAAGCCCCCTATCTGTTCTTTTCTAAGAGTGCCTTGACTATCCTTGGCCTGCATTTCCATATACATTTAATTTTTTAAAATTTTGTTTTATTATTATTTTTTTCCTCACCTGAAGACATGCCTTCATTGATTTTAGAGAGAGAAACATGGATTGTTTGCCTCTCATAGTGCTGAACACACCAAATGAGCCCCCACCAGAGATCGAACCTGAAACCTAGGCATGTGCCCTGACCAGGAATTAAACCTATGACCTCTTGGTTCACAGGACGACGCTCAACCAACTGAGCCACACTGGCTAGGGCTCTGTATACATTTTAAAATCAGCTTGTCAAGTTTCACACAAAAATGTCTGTTGAGATTTTTATTAATACTGTAATCTATCAATTAATTTATTTAAAATTTTCATCTTTATAATAGTGAGCTTTTGATCTAGGAATAAGGTTTATCCCTTCATTTAATAAGGTCTACTTTATTTATCAAAATTTTTTGAGATAAAGTTCATTATTTCAATGTTTTCACAGCGATAAAATTTACCATTCTAACCATTTTTAGGTATACAGTTTATTGGCATTCAGTACACTCACACTGTTGTGCAACCATAGCCACTCTCTCTCTCTCAAAAACTTTTTTATCATTGGAGACTGAAACTCAGCACCCCTTTAGACAAGCACTTTGGTTGGTGCCCATTCACCCTCTGATGGACATTTGGGTTTTTCCACCTTTTGTGTGTTGTGGATAATGCTGCTATTTCATGATAACGTTGATGAGATGCTGTAGGAACTTAACTCATATTTATATCAATTTGCCTGTAGTAAAATTGGTTTCATGATACATCATTTCACTTATAGTCACATAACCTAATAACAGTGTTAAGTGAAGACCTGAGACAGCATTGGGACTTGGACCTAGGAATAGAAGTATTGGGTGACCACGAAGCCAAGTTAAGACTAGGTGGTCAGAGGCAGCAAGGGCAAAAAATTGTCACCACCCCTCCATTCCCTTCTCAGAAATGCAGAGGTCATTGATTTTTATCTCCCTTCTAGTTTCCTGCTTAACCTACTAACCGGCATGTGCAGTTGATTAAGGTTTGACCACTGTACAGCCTTGTTAAGGTGGTGGTAATTAGCAGTCTGTCGTCTTGCCCCCACAGTGCAGGCACCAACATAGTTACCAGGCAATGCAGCTGGAAAAGGAAGTCACCCAACCCTAAAATGGAAAATTATGCAAGCCTGCCTTTTTCAAAAAACCTGCCTTTTCATGCAAGCCTTGTTTGTCCCCAGCTTATAAAAGCAGCCAAGCAGAGCCAGCCCCAAGCCAGTTCAGAGGATTTTCCTTTCCTCTGAGCTGCCTCCCTTGTGCTCAAGCATAAGCTTAATAAAATCTGTCTGGAAATTTCTCTGGAGTTTCCTCTCGATTTCTATCTTGGGGAACCCAAGAACGCCAACACCTGGTAACAGGTTTACTGTATATGTAACATAGTTGGCATGAAAAAAAAGAGTGAGAAATACTAGTGTTCTTCCCTTAAGATTTACTTTTCTTTAGCTGACTACATTAGTGATTAAGAGGGTTCTGGGACCCAATTTCCAATGTGTGTGTGGGATTTCCTCACAGTAACAATTCTCGGACATGGGCTGGGTGTCATACAATTGAACTCAACCCTGACTCTCTACCTGGAGATAGCACTAGATTCTGCAGGTTGAGGGCTCATTCCTACAAGACTGCTCCCCCCCTCCCCCTTCAGACACCAGTCTCAAGTCCAGGTTATTACTGTACTTATGACCTATAGGCTGTAAATTAGAAGTTCCTATGACCCTCTCCTTGAGTTTGATTAATTTGCTAGAGTAGTTTACAGAACTCAGAGAGTCATTTTACTTAGTAGATTGCCAGTTTATCATAGAGGGATATAACTCAGGAGCAGCCGGATGGAAGAGATACATAGGGCAAGGTGCAAGGTGTGGGAAAAGGGTATAAATCTTCCATGCCCTCTCCCAGCACACCACTCTCCCTGAGTCCACATGTTCACCAACCCAGAAGCTACCTGAACCTGTCCTTTTGAGTTTTTATGGATGCTTCCATTACACAGGCAGGATTAATGAAGTCATCGGCCATTGGTGATTGAACTCAGAGTATAACCCCTCTCTCTTCCTCGGAGGTCAGGATGGAACTGAAAGTTCCAAGCCTCTCATCACATGGTTGGTTCACTTGGTGACCAGCTCTCCTCCCCCATTTTTAGGGGCTTTCCAAAAGCTACCCTATTAACATAAACTCATTTGTGGTTGAAAGGGGCTTGTTATGAATAATGAGACACCCCTTTCACATTTATGGCTTCGAAGGAATTTCAGGAACTGACGGCAAGAGACCTAGTATTATAACAAAAGACGTCCCCATTGCTCTTATCGATTAGGAAATAGGGGTTTGAGAGCTGTGAACCAGAAACCATGGACAAAGACCAAAATATATATTTACTATAAATTACAGTATCACAATGATGTTTTCCAAATTTAAGTTTTATTTAACCTCATAGAAACTTGTGTGTTGTCTTTATTTATTTTTTTTAAATTGAATATATTGGGGTGACATTGGTTAATAAAATTATATAGGTTTCAGGGTACAATTCTATAATACATTGTCTGTATATTGTATTGTCTGTTACCTCAAGACTTTATTTTTATTTATTTTTAAAAAGTTAAAACTTTATTTAAAAAGGTTTAAAAATTTTCCCTGTGGTTATTAAATATTCTGATGGCTTCAAGATGAGAGAAAGAATGTAATTATTGTTTGAAATGAACTGTTGAACTGCAGGAGTATCCTACAGTCTATAGCGTGTTCCATTGAATTAATTTTGTTATAAGCACAGTACCAACATGGTTTTAAATGAAATGCATTAGTGTTCTCTTATGAGCATCTGGGATGCTGTGGTGTATCCATGATGTGAGTGGCTGCATAACTATAGTTTTGCTTATAGTTACAATATGTTTTTCATAATCTTCTCCACTCTTACAGTTCTGATATCTCAGTTTTATTGATCTTTTGCTGCAGGAACAGTTCCCATGTCTCTGTTGGTTCTGTTGAATTTTCCAAGGAGACAATATGCATGATAATTTCTGCACCATTTGCGAGGTGTAGGATAACCTCACATGGCTGTCAGCAGAGATGGTTTCCTCACACATTAGCATGTGTGTTTAGTTTTGCTTTTTCAATCTCTGGAGTAAGAAGTCATCATTGGAAGAGAGCAACAGTGAAGATAGTTTTTTTGAATGGGCTGTAGACTCATGCTAGTTTCAGAAGTGTCTGTACAGCTGGAAGGGCTTAATACCCAAACTAGAGTCAGAACTCCCAAAGCTTACATATATTTTGGCTGGGTGAGTGCATGTCTCCCCCTTACTCCCAGGAGCCTAGATAATACCCCAACACCCAGCACTTGTATCTGAGTGGAGAGAGCGTAGGTAACAGCTTCCGAGGATTTAGATGCTTGTGCTGCTAAACCCTGTGGGAATGCTTAGAATTGCAATTGATGTTCCTTACCCTGAAAGGACCGTCATAATTACTGATGAAGAGCTGGCCTTTCTCCATTGCAGATTGACATCAGTAAATGCCATTATTTAGTGGATTTGGACACCATGAGAGAAACACCCCGGGAGCCAAAATATTCATCCAACAGAGAAGAATGGATCAGCTTGGCCTACAGACCATTCCTTGATGCTTCTAGGTATGTGGCATTAATTCTGAGAGATGTACTAGGATTAGTAAGGGTGAAAATTGGAATCTAGGATTGAATAACTTCCAGCCCTGGGCTGAGGCTAGTATCCATCCTTTCACTTTATTTTTATTTAGATCCAAGCACTTCTCCTATCCTTGTCCAGTTTCCTGAGAAATCTAAAAGAGCGCACTCTTTTTCTAGCCACCAGAATACAAAGTATATTTCGGTATTATCTAAATAAAAAAATCTGAGTAAAGCAGATAAGATTCACTGAACAAAAAACAAGTAAGTCTTTGATATTTATTATTTTCAGCAACCAACTTCAGCTATTTTAACTGAGAGTATTCTAACATAGTTAGGAAGATTGTGTCCTTTAAGGATCTAGACGTTTATATCCATTATTTTTAAGCACAAGGCTCAGGCAGGGATGGAATAGGCCTTACTAGATCTTAAATAGAGAGACCAAATAGACCAGGGCTCAGCTGGCTCCTCAGAAAGGTCTCAGAATTAATGATGCGAGGGGAGTCAGGGCTTTCAGGTGAAGTAGTAATGAGGGGGGTGAGTTGTAATGGTCAGGTTGTCTGTGGGCAGAGGTCCAGGTAAACAGGCAGTTGAAGTTAAGGAGGTTCAGGGAAGCCTGGTGGGCAGAGCCCAGGAGCCAGGAGATCAGGCAGAAAGCAAAAGGTAGAGGGGCAGCTCTGGAGAGGCAGATCTGGGACTCAGAAACAGGAAAGAGGGTGTTTTTAGGAGGGTAATCAGAAGCTGCTGACAAATCAAGTAAGACAAAGAATTACTGTCCATTGGACTTGGCAGCTGATAAAAGCAATTTTGGTGGAGTAATGGGGCATAGGCACTTGAGGGATTAGATGGGTCAAAGCAAAAACAGAGGGGCAAGAATTAGAGAAGACCTGGCCTGCGTGGCTCAGCAGTTGAGTGTCGACTATGACCCCGGAGGTCATGGTTCGATTCCCCGTCAGGGCACATGCCCCAGTTGCAGGCTTGATCCCCAGTGGGGTGCATGCAGGAAGTAGGTGATCAGTGACTCTCTCATCATTGATGTTTCTATCTCTCTCTCCCCCTCTCCCTTCCTCTTTTTGAAGTCAATAAAAACCTATTTAAAAAAAAGATGAAGAATTAGAGAAGGCAAATACAGACAAGCCTTTCAGAAAGTTTTGCTATAAAGGGAAATAGAAAAATAGGACTATAGCTGCTGGTGGGTACAGGGAAGCGATAACTAGAAAGATTCTTATCCTTAAAAAAATGTTTTTTATTATGGTAGCATATGTATAACATAAAATTTGTCATTTTAACCACTTAAAATTCAGTGTTATGCAACCATTACCATTCTCTTTTTAAAAAATTGAGATATAATTGACATAGAACGACCATGTAAGTATAAGGTGTACAGCATGTTGGTTTGATACATTTATGTGTTGCAGTGATTATTACTGTAGCATGGGCTAACATCTTTATCATGTCACATATTTATCATTTCATTATCTATTTCCAAAACTTTTCCACCACCCCAAGCTGTTCCTCTTACTTTTTATTATTATTATTTTTAATATATCTTTATTGATCTCAGAAAGAGGAAAGGAGAGGGAGAGAGAGAGACAGAAACATCAATGATGAGAGAGTCATTGATTAGCTGCAACCCACAACCCGGGCATGTGCCCTGACCAGGAATCGAACCCTAATCGCCTGGATCTTAGGTCGATGCTCAACCACTGAACCATGCCCGGCTGGGCCCTCTTTTACTTTTTAAGAGGAGGAAAATGACAGTCATCTACTGATGGAAATGATCTCTTGTAGAGCTGAACCCTGATGATGTAGGAGAAAGGAATTACTGAAGCAATGCCTTTGAGTTAGGAGAGAGGAAATGCACAAATAAGTAAGGATGTGTTTTATTTATTTTTAATCCTCACCCAAGGATATTTTTTCCATTGCTTTTCAGAGAGAGTGGAAGGGGGAGGGAGAAGAGAGAGGAAGAGAGAGAAACATCAATGTGAGAGAGACACATCGATTGGTTGCCTCCCTCACCTACCCCAACTAGGGCCAGGGATCGAGCCTGCAACTGAGGTACGTGTCCTTGCCTGGAATCGAACCCGGGACCCTTCAGTCCTCAGGCCGACTCTCTTACCACTGAGCCAGGGCAGGATGTGTTTTAGATAAACATTTGGATAGATCATCTTGAATAGCACTGTCCCATAGAACTTTCTTGAGGATGGAAATACTCTGTATCTACACTAATACAGGGGCCACAAGCCACATGTAGCTATTAAGCCTTTGAAAAGAGACTAGTAAGATTGAGGAACTGAATTTTTGTTGTATTTAATCTTAATCTAAATAGCCACACATAGTTACTGGACAGGGGCATAATAGTAACAGGCAGCAGTAGGTGTGATGATGGGGATCTGGAAGGTCTCTACTGATGGCCTCAGTTTCCTCAGTGAAGAAGGAAGGGCTATCAGATGAAAACGGAGACTAGGGGATGAGGCATTGGAGATTTGAGGAGAGAGAAGGTGGGAAGTAATTGAGGAGAGCAAGAAACAAAAGGAGCTTGAGAAATATAGTACGATTGGAGGACGGAGTCAGGAACTCACTTGAACCCTGGCTGGGTAGCTCAGTTGGTTAGTGTGTCTTCCTGATACGCCAAGGTTGTGGTTTTGATCCCTGGTCAGGGCACATACAAGAAGCAGCCAACGAGTGCATAAATAAGTGGAACAACAAATCCATGTTTCTCTGTCTTCCTCTCCCCCTTCTTCTCTCTCTCTCTAAAATCAATAAAAAATAAAAAGTGGGACCAATGTGGTTGCATTTTTCTTTTCCAACTATTTATAGCTGCACTAGTGAAACACAAAACAGGTGAATTTAACCAGTTTAATTGTGTGTTTTTTAAAAAACAACTTTATTGATGTATAATTTACATACCATAAAATTTACCCATTTTAAGTGTACAATTCAATAATTATTAGTAAATTTACCAAGTTGTACAACCATCACCATAGTTCAATTTTAGAACATTTCCATCATCCTGATAAGATCCCTAATTCCCACTCCCAGCTCCAGGGAACCACTCATTATTTTCTGATCCTGTAGATTTGACTTTTCTGAATCTTTCACATAAATGAAATTATGTAATATGTGGGGTCCTGTCTCTTGCTTTTTTTACTTAGCATGCTTTTGAGTTTTATTAATATATAACATATATCAGTGGTGTCCCTTTTTACTGCTAAATACAATTCCATTCTATGGATATACCCAGTGTGGTTGTCCCTTTATGAGTTGATGGATATTTGGGTTATTCCCACTTTTTGGTTGTTATAAATAATGCTGCTTTGAACATTTGCGTGCCTGCCTTAGTGTGTAGGGTTGAGTTTTAGCCTAAAAAGTTCAACAAAGCATGAAATGGCAAGGGAATTGAGGCTTTTTGCACAGAAGTGATATAATGATTTGATGGCCTTAGGTTGGGTAAGAGGGAGGGGGAGGGCATTGAGGAAGTGGGAGACCACGAAGGGTGGTAGGGTCATAGATGAATTGATAATAAAACATTGTCAGAATTGGAGAGTGAGAGGAGAGAGCTGGAAGGAGAAGCAGTGTGAGGGTGTGCAATTGTCTATGTCACACATGTTCTTTGGTGCCTAACTGTATGATATAGTAATTGGCGTAGGTGTCTGTTGTGACTTCATTTGGGGGTTGAGAAAACTGTGACAATGTGAGATCTGTGCCTGGAAAGATCTCCAGCCCTGAGGGGACAGCAGATCCCAAACAGTCTTCCTGCTGATAGTGGGAAACTTAGTGGTTCACAAACACTGACAAGCAGCACATTGCTCACAGGACAAACTGTTCACAGATGGGGCAAGTGCGTCTTTTGTGGGTGACCTTTTATTTTCCTTCTGGTTTTGAAGGATTGAAAGGAGACGGGTTCCTCATCTTCCCATTTCCCTTTTTGTCTGGTGCCCATAAACAGAGCCTCTGGGACAAGGCGAAGATGCATGACACTTGTGTGCTTTTTACTGGAAAACTGATCACCTTCCCACCTGCCTTGTGGTGAGCAGTGACTGGAGGTGACCATGCAGTCACACAAGTGATGTTGTCAAGAATCGCTCCTCCAGGCCCCTGTGTTCAGCATGCTCCTCAGCCAGTGGGAGCAGCAGGTGACACACTGGGGGACATGAAGTGTGAGTGCTTTTCCCAGAGATGCTGTTCGCTGTCCCCACTGAGCATCCTGCTTCCCTAGCAAGCTAGGTTTTAAGGGCAGAAATAGAGCATAACTGGATCAATTTGATAAGCATTTATTCAACATCTTCTACATCTAAGACTAGACTGTGCAGACAGGACCACTGCCTTGGGGAGTTTATCGTGTACGTGGGGAGATACAACATAGTTCAGAGAAGTGGTGGTGGAGAATAGGAGGGAGGAGTTAATTCCAACCAGCTAGGGTGGGAGCAGCCGAGGAAGATTTCAGGAGGAAATGCCATTGAAGATTGCGTTGGTGATGGCGTGAGGGTGGACTGAGAGGAGCAGAAGTTGGAGGCATAGACACAAGTTAGGAGGCTGTGCTGGTAGACTAGATGAAAGGTAATAAGGGAGTGAACTCAACTGCAAAGGGCGAGATAGACTCATGAGTTGCATTGTTTCAGAGAAAGATCAGGCCAAATTTTAGATCCCGGAAGCCCGTGACTTTCCCAGTGGCCTGTGTCAAGCTTTTAAATTTTTTCTTTGCTCTTACAAGTGTGATACTAATCATTGTTATGGATTGCTTTCTCTAGCTGGGCTGGCCCCAGACAAGAAGCCTTTGCAAGCTGAGCAGAACTTCCTAAGAGAGACCAGAACCTAAATTTGTTTCATTGTACATCCTGTTTCTCCTGTTGGTCCCTGCTGCTGCTTCATTTCCTGCACACCCACTGAGCACACCTCTAGTGTGGGTGGAGGGAAGGAGAGGTTATTGGGAATGCCTTCAGAGGTTCTTCATTTCCCATAAATCAGCATTGTCATGATCGTATGCA